TAATAATCACTTAATATTATTAAAAACAAAAAATAAAATTGAAACTAATTAAATAAATATTAATTAAAAATTGTGGCAAAAAATTAAAATAGGTAAATTTGTCCATATAATAAAAAATTTCAATCTGTTAGCCATTTTAATATAAAAAACTATATTAGATAACTTTTTTAATTTGCTAATGGTTTGGACTCTAATTGCTATCCATTAATTTCAAACCATTAAATAAAAAAATTCACCAAACACTTAATTTGTAATGATATAGAAATAAATAAATTTACCAAACATCTATCTTTAGGCAAAATTGCTAATCAATGCTTTTAAATCGCTATACCAAACAGGTTTTAAAGTTGATTGGGTTCAAGAACCTGCTAAGCCAAAAACAAATAAACATGCTAATTCTCATGTACCTGAAAAAATAAAAATGAAAAGCTACAACCCGAACTTCATAAGCTACAACACATCTCGAAATGGATTACTATATATATAATGATAGAACTTCAGGAATATTGTATACCAATTACCTGGCATTTCAGTACCAAGCTAGCTTTCTTCTCCCAAAGTAATCAAGACCTTAGAAAGGATATGAGTAGCCCAGTAAATGCGACTGCCTCTGCTTCTGCTAAGTTGGCGACATGTTTATAAGCACTCCCTAGCAAACTTGTTGCACAAAAGGTTGACCACATGTCTGGAGTAGGGAAAACGCTAACAGGGGGCAAGTCTCAACTGAGTCGCAGTAGTTGAAGATGGGAAATGGCTGGGCCCTGTGAGACCACAAACGATGTTCGATGGAATGTCTAAGGGAAAGCTGCATGAAAACGCGTTGATTCAATCAAAGACGAGTTTTCCTTAACCCTACGTTTGGTTCTTGCTGCCCCAGGTGAGCAGAAATAGTTGAAGATGGTAAATCATCCGTGCCCCTGTGGGACCAGAAACGATGTTCGACGAAATGTCTAAGAGAAAGCTGCATGGCGAACGCGTTGAATCAATCAAAGACGAGTTTCCATTAACTACATGTCTGGTCCTTGCGTTGCGTGTAGACTGCACTGCCACGACTTTGGATTCTAGGTCAATACTCGGAGTTACCTAATTGGGGACCTTTGGACCTTTGGTACCTGGTGAAGGAGTTTTCTTTTTTTTTTCTTGAACAGAGTTGAATATCCGGTTTGTGGGAATATAAAGAAAAATAATAATAATAAGAGAACATTGTAGATTTTAAATGAAGTTCTATTAACATTCACTAAACCAAGAATTGTTTAACATTAAAGAACCATAGCAAATAATAAATTAAAGAAAAAAGACAACCCCGGAGCAAATTATAAATCTGAGAACTGCGAATGGGTACCCACCGAAAATGGCGGCCATCTGGAACCAGCTCTGAAAACCGTTTTCAGTTTGAAGACAGACAAGGGCTCTTAGCAATGGCAGATTGGACGGTTGGGACTTGTGCTTGTAATTGGGGAGAGGCCGGCCGGAACAGAGGTATGAGTGAAGATTGGGCGGTTACGAGGGTGAAAGGCCCAGTTCTGTTTATTGGTATTAAGACTGCGGAGTAAATTTTTTTTTTTTTTTTGTCTGTTCACGTAACCTTTTAGGTTTCTTTAATATTGGTCCCTAATCTTTAAAACAACTGATACAATTTTTTACTATCTTTAGAATGTGTTTAGATTAAAGGATTTGGAGGAGGAGGGGAGAAGGAGAGAAGAGTAACAGAGAGATGTCTTATTCTTTTATTTGAATTAATTTTTTAATAGAGAAGAGGGAAATAGAGATCCCTTCACTTCTTTGTTTTTCATTCCTCTAATTTGATAAATTATAACAAATTTAGTTTGTTAATTAATTAATTTTAAATTTTAAAAAAAATAAATTTATAAATATTTTATTTTAACTATTTATTTAATTTACAAAATTAAAAAATATATTATATTATATTTTTATTTAAATTATTTAATTAAATAAAATTATTATTCTTTTCTCTCCTTTTTTTTTTTTATTTATTCAAATAAAATTAACACTAATCCTTTTTATCCCTTCTGCTACCTTCCCTTTCCTTTACTAGTTTTTATTCAAACAAAATCTCAAAGTTTTGAATTAGTCCTTCTTGTTCATAGCTTCTATTTTTCTGTGTTGGATTTTTAAAATACATTCAAAAGGTTAGGGCAAATTGAACTTATTTAAGAATCTTAAACAAGATGTGTCTTTATTTGAGAAATGATCATAGATGCTGTCCTTTTCTATAAATCATTATAGTTGGTGTCCTCAATTACAAATTATTGAGTTTTTCTCCTTATCGTGTAACATTAATTTTTAATCCAATCAAGTACAAAAACATTAACAGCAAAGGGTTGAATTTATTTATAAAAAAATATTATCTTATAAATAATTTGGGAATTGTCTTGGGTACATGGTAAATATGAAACAATACACAACATTTTTAAGTACCCAAATATCATTACAATAAGAAAACTGACGCTGTGTTAGGACAAGATTGATAACTTTAGAAAGAAGTACTTTTAACTGTACGTAGGTCTTCTGATAGTAGGGTTCAATCTCGTATAATGATTTATATTTTTAAAAAAGTGTTTTATTGGTTGATTCTATATTAAAAATAAATTTATTTTATAAATTTATTTAAATATTTTTAATAAAATTATTTTTTTTATTTTATTAAAAAATATTTAAATAAATTTATAAAATAAACAATATATTTTTAATGTATAATCTTATTTAGAAAACTTAAACCTCTTATATTTTATTTAATCTAAATGGTAGTAGAATTAGAGATTATAAAAGGTTAAACCCCAATTTGATCACTGAATTATTGTACAAAATTTTCATTTGGTCTTTAAATTAAAAAATTCTTAATTTAATCTTTAAACTATTGTACGGACTCTAATTTGATTCCTATTGTTTACTAATTTGCCTCAAATTGGTTATTTCGTACAAAAAATAGTTGACATATCCGTTATTTAACCATGAAAAATAGTTACTTAATGATTACGTATCACATTAATAACAAAACACATTAGTTGTTATTTGTATGGAAAGACCAACATAAGGTAAATTGGTAAACAGTAGATACCAAATTGGGGTCCGTACAATAGCTTAGGGACCAAATCAAAAAGCTTTTTAGTTTAGGGATCAAATTGAGGGTTTAACCATTATAAAAAGAATCGCTAATGAAGTTGAAGAATCAACGACACCGTATCGCGTGTCTGAGCTCTTGGCTTTAGTCACTAGTCAGTTTTCTTTAGCCGCCGGTCTTCAGGGATCATAACACGACGTCACTTGGATTAAAATCCTAACTTGCAATCAAACCCCTTTTGAGTTCAGTTCCCTTCCCGCATCGGGAAAAAGTCATCGCCGGCACGAACCTGATCGCCGGAGTCTGCTACAATCTCATCTGCCAATCCCGAAAGGTGAAGGTAACTATTCTCAACTCTAATTTCGTCTTTCTTTCTTAACCTTTCTCCAATTACTTCACTTACGCACAAATTTTAGGGATTTATATATATATATATATATATATATATATCCAATCATTGGGTGACGAAGACGAAGGTTTTGGGTATTGCAGACAATTAAACATGGAGGAGGAGGATGATTACGTTGAGTATGTTCCCGTGGCCAAGCGTAGAGCCATAGAGGCTCAGAAAATCCTTCAGCGAAAGGGGAAGGCTTCTGCCCTAGAGGATGAAATTGAGAAATCCAAACTCGCCGAAGCAAAACCTAGCTTGCTTGTGAAGGCTACTGAGCTCAAGCGGAACCAACCTGAAGTTAGTCAGATGGAGCAAATTGTACAGCAAGAGAAGGAGATGATTGAGCACTTATCAGACAGGAAGACGCTTATGTCGGTGCGGGAATTGGCAAAAGGAATCACTTACACCGATCCCCTGCTCACGGGTTGGAAGCCACCCTTGCATATTCGAAGGATGTCCAAGAAAGAGAGGGATTTGATACGAAAGCAATGGCATATTATTGTTGATGGAGAAGATATTCCCCCGCCCATCAAGAATTTTAAGGACATGAAGTTTCCAGAGCCAATTTTGAAGAAACTTAAGGACAAGGGAATTGTGCAGCCAACCCCCATCCAAGTGCAAGGTTTGCCAGTGATTTTGGCTGGAAGAGATATGATTGGGATTGCATTTACAGGGTCAGGGAAAACACTTGTGTTTGTGCTGCCAATGATAATGATTGCTTTGCAAGAGGAGATGATGATGCCTATCCTTCCAGGGGAAGGACCTTTTGGATTGATTGTCTGTCCTTCGAGGGAACTTGCTAAGCAGACTTATGACGTCGTGGAGCAATTCTTGGCTCCCATGAGGGAGTTGGGGTATCCGGAATTGAGACCATTGCTTTGTATTGGTGGAGTGGATATGCGATCCCAGTTAGAAGTTGTTAAGAAGGGTGTTCATATTGTTATTGCAACTCCAGGGAGATTAAAGGATATGCTTGCTAAGAAGAAAATGAATTTAGATAACTGCAGGTAAGCATTATTGTTTCACTTATTTTAGTAGCTCTGATAATCTGCCCCCTTTTAGTGGTAGTCTGTTTTACACAAATTTAACCTGGTCTTGCAAGTGTATCTGCTTTCAGAGTTTATTTGTAATGACTTAATTGGTGATTGGCATATGCAGTTTCTCTTCTCTTAGGAAACCTTTCACAAATGTATTATATGCTTAAAAATTAATTCCAGTCCTTATTTGTTTCTGTGCTAGGTGGTTTAGGGGTATGAGTTTTTGTTCTGCTTTGTTTTGTGTTGTGTACTTTTCTTTCTCATCTGTCACTACTCTTATTTTGTTGACTTTGAGTGGGCAGTGAAGATTCCCTTCCTCTCATAGCTTCAAGAGCTGATAAAGCAAAGACAGCTTCTGAGGGGATTTCCCTGGCTAGTCTAGATGTCCCTGCCCTGCTTTGAGTGGACAGTGATTTGTATATTTATGTTTTCCCTCTTTATACATTGTGGTTATTAATCAACTTTTTTTTTTCCTTCTACAGGTACTTGACGTTGGATGAGGCAGACAGATTAGTTGATTTAGGCTTTGAAGATGACATAAGGGAAGTGTTTGACCACTTTAAAGCTCAAAGGCAAACCCTTCTGTTCTCTGCTACCATGCCAAACAAAATTCAGAACTTTGCTAGAAGTGCTTTAGTGAAGCCAGTTGTTGTTAATGTGGGAAGAGCAGGCGCTGCAAATCTGGATGTGATTCAAGAGGTTGAGTATGTGAAGCAGGAGGCAAAGATTGTCTATCTTCTTGAATGCCTACAGAAAACCCCTCCTCCAGTTTTAATATTTTGTGAGAATAAGGCTGATGTGGATGATATTCATGAATATCTTCTCCTCAAAGGAGTGGAAGCTGTGGCCATTCATGGAGGCAAGGATCAGGAAGAGAGAGAATATGCCATTTCATCCTTCAAAGCTGGCAAGAAAGATGTCTTAGTTGCAACAGATGTTGCCTCAAAGGGGTTGGATTTTCCAGATATTCAACATGTGGTTAATTATGATATGCCTGCCGAAATTGAAAACTATGTCCATAGAATAGGAAGAACTGGTAGATGTGGTAAAACTGGAATTGCAACCACATTTATAAATAAAAATCAGAGTGAGACGACTCTTCTTGATTTGAAGCACCTCCTGCAAGAAGCCAAACAGAGGATTCCACCTGTCTTGGCTGAGCTTAATGATCCAATGGAAGATGTTGATGCAATCACCAATGCAAGTGGTGTTAAGGGTTGTGCTTATTGTGGTGGACTGGGTCATCGCATCCGGGACTGTCCTAAATTAGAGCATCAGAAAAGCATGCAGATTGCAAGTTCTAGAAGGGATTATTTTGGTTCTGGGGGCTATAGAGGGGAGATTTGATTTTTATTGCTTCATGTGGTTGACCACTTGATAGGTAGTTCGTCTTATGTTCTTTCCTCCTGTGTACCATTTTTAGAGTTGATATCTGTTTAAAAGGAATTCATCTTTAATATTGTTTGTTTGCAATGCTCAGTTTGTCTATGTATGGTTTTCTATTTTCTCAATTTTAATCCTGAATTCAGTTGTATGTGTGGATTTTTTTTTTTTAATTTTTTTTCCTGATAGGAAGAATTTCCTCCTTTTTGGACCCTTCAAAAGTTATACAACCCTCACCAT